ATTAAATAACGGTATAATTTCGACAACTTTAAGTAATTATAACACCATGTTTTTGGGACGCCAGTTTAGCTAGAAGCTGCTGCACGCCCACGTGAGGTTTTCATATAAAAAATAATTTGTTACATTCCCCTTAAATCCAACTACTTTTATATAATGTAATTAATATTGTAGACTCTATATGATTTTCAATTTATAATATTAATATCAATCTTAAATGTTATAAATAAAGTAAGAATTAATAGGAACTAAAACAAACTCTCTTTTTATATTGATTACTTTGCTGTCCTTATAGATAAGTATAATGTGTTTGTTTTGAATGAACTTTGGTTTGACCCGCAAACGTAACTGGTCGCTACCCACAAAACAAAATGATAAATGAAGATCATCGGTAGTTACGCCTTACATAAACGCTGATGGATTGATTGTAAAAGGTCGTTTACGTGTGTGTGTCTATCAATCGCTTAGTTCCTGCCCAGGCGCAGCCTTAGGGCCGGCTCATAAACGAGTATGTTTAATAGGTTTTGTAATTTTAAGCGTTGGTATCTGAGATCCTGGACAGTTAAAAATGTGATCTCTTTTTATATAATTTTTTAACGTTTCCAATATCAAAAACCGTGATATGTTTGAATATTAAAATAACTATTATAATAATCAAATATCTTCGTTTAGGCAGAAAAAAATCAAAATTCGTAAGCGACTTTTTTCTCTGTAAATCCATTTTTCTTCTTCAACACAACGAAATTTTAAAGTCAAATACGAAAGATTAATTAAATAATATTCAATAAGCGCTGTTTGATTAACAAAAGGGTAATCTGTGGCGGCATCTAACACAAATACGAGGCCACTCGAAGAGCTGTTTTCAATCACCGTCATTCATTATTCACTCGCTTCCCTTTGCAGTTGCCGAAGTACATTCGCCTGTTTTGTTTTGTTTAACTTTCATATTTCAAACTCTTCGAGACTGAGTCGTGCAATACAATACTTGTAATAATTGAATTGCTTAAACGTTTATTGCGTGTGAATTTGGTATGGTGAAAGCAGGATTTGGTATAATTCGGTATAATTCGAAATAATAAGAAAAATTATTTTTTGAGAAGACTAGGTTTATTTTTGTCAACCCGAAACGCACAACACACACAGCTCTTCGTGCTTTTCGAGGCACGGGCGTGAAACGCCGCCAAATTCGTGATTCCAGACTGATATTGATAATTTCTTAAAAGTGAAACCCAATTACTAATATTGGCCTTCCTTCTCGCCGGGACTCGAATCCCGGATCAGGTAAGCAGTCGTACTAGTGGTTGTACACTAGACCAACGAGACAGTCAACATCATATTACAATGTCGTAAAGGTTACCTTACAATATTTTGAGAACGAAGAATATAATATCAGCGTGTAGAATGCTTCGTAAAAAAAAGCATAAAATTTTCCGATGTAGACTTATACATTCGATGCGCCTGTCTAAGCAACTACTAGGCGCATTGCTCTCTACATTTTTTGTTGTCATTAGCTGACGTGAAATAACACTTCTGTGGCGTTGTATCGTGATCCAAAAAAATAAATTGTGTGAAAAATTACGATGATTACATCTAATAATGGCTGGACGGCCGGAGTGGTTTGATGGCCTCTGTGGAGATTGGCATCATTAGCGGCAATGATAGTGACCTAAAAGAGTAATTTCGTTTTCTTTGCTGCTACTGCTTAATATGTATTACCAATTTGATTTGTTTTCTCTTATTTTTACCATAGATATGCAGTATTGCTGTGTGTTACAATTTTTAACCAACTTCCATAAAAGGAAGAGGGTCTTTATTCGACGCGTATGCGTAATATTTATATATGTACTATTTCTTGATATCCACACAACAGATTAAAATGTTTCATTTATTTATTTAATAAGTTAGGGGTCACATATACGTTTAAAGTAAAATTTCAACAATAAAGATAAGGCATAAATTTTTTGTTATAACTATTTAGACGAAATCTATTAGTACCTTAAATAGACAAAGAAACGTTAGACTTGTGATACCTATTTTCTGATTCCACTTAAAATTTAACTTTTAAAGAAAAGTGAAACCCAAGTTTAAAACCTAAAAAGCTGGCCAAGTGCGAGTCGGACTCGCGCTTGAAGGGTTCCGTATCTATAATTAATTTTTTTTTAATTGTAATTATTTGTGTTATAGCGGCAACAGAAATACGCATTCTGTGAAAATTTCAACTGTCTATTTATTACGGATTATGAAATACAGCCCGCTGACAGACAGACGGACGGACAACGGAGGCTTAGTAATAGGTTCCCTTTAGTTATCCTTTGGGTACGGAACCCTAAAAAGGGTAAAATAAATTTTAATTATTTTTACACTATAACTCTGTTCTTAACACCCACTCCCGAAGCTAACATATATAATACCAGGAATTTTTTATTCTTTTTATTTTTGAAGTCGATTTTATATTTGAATAAAAGTTTAATATTAAAGCTTAGGTACGAGTATGTGCACTATGTCACTACTTTGTATTCTCTGATGACATCTTCCAAGTCTATTCTCACAATGATAATAACTTCAGAATATTATTTGAAGATTTTTAAATGGGCTGGAAATAATAAAGTGTCAGTGCTAGCACAGAGCACTAATTACTTAATCCTTTCGAACTGTTAAGGAAAAAAGTTGAATACAGAGATTCTTGTGAGTTATTTATCCTTAGAGCGATTTTTTAAAAATTACACAGTCTAGATAGACCAGACCACCGCTTTATATGAGAGAGCATAGTAAGGAGAGCTCAAGTTACCTTGGATATATTCAGCTGTATTTTTTTCTATCAGTTCGTAACAGTCTACAGCTGGACATAAGCATCTGACATCGTAGGAAATATTTAACTAAACCTCAACACTTGACACAGTTGGATTGGCAATCTCCTTCCAGTCATTAGTCTATAGTCGTTTAAACATGGTAGAGTCATTCTGTAGCTATATTAATTGTATAGTTGTACCATGAATGGGTCGGCTCGAGCGGGGAAGGACCACGCTTTCACAGAATACCAGCGTCAAATAGCAGATTAACACTGCTGTGTTTCGTATGGTGAGTGTAGAGAACCAGATACCCTTTTTACTGGAAAAAAGGCATTCCATTTTAGTCCTTACGGGTGACAACGCATCTGCATTTTGATTCGCAAACGAGGATAGAAATATAGATGTCTATGGGTCACAGCAACCACTTACCATGAGGTGAACTGTGTGCTGGTTTGTCACCCTTATCCTATAAAGGAAAATTGGAGAATTTACATATTACTTATACGATTAAGGTATATCCATTTATCGGAGGCCCTGCAAAATTCTTAACTTTTCTCATTGTCATTTTATTAGAAGTTCCAATCATTCGTTCAACAAGTACAACTTTACGATATAATATATTAAAATAAAAAAAAGTATAATTTTACAATCAACCTGACATAATCTATATTTGAACTTAAGGAATAAAGTAATAGATATTGTTATATATACTAATAGACATGCTCAAATAAAAATTCAAAATCGTGACCTTTAGATGAGGTTATTTAGAGACTTAAAAAACACTTTATCAAGTCAGTCGTGAGAGAACTTGACGTTTTCGAGCCACCGTAAGTACTACGACTGAGTCTCGAGACTGTCCCCATTGGCATATCAGGCAATTAAAATGGCCGGCCGAAGACGGTAAGCAGATGCATGTCACTTTTATCAAATACATTAAACTCGGTGCTCGAATCGAACATTTATTTTCTTCTTTTTATCCGCTCGGGTATAAAACCCTCTCAGAACTCTACCCAGATAACAAGTAATGTATTGGTGTCCCGTCGAATAATTAAACGGTCCTTTTATATTGAGGTCCGATGGATTATTTTCAAAATGCAGCGTAAAAGTTCTAATTAAGAATTTAAAGATTTGTGATCACGTTTCTGAGAATCCTTCCTCAATATGAATATTGAATATTTTGATACGGAATGTTTCACGTAATTTAAACGATTGCTAAAAATTTAATATTAGAACCGCAAGATTCTTATTGATTGTTTACGCTTTGCTATTGAGTATCCGTTACTTTGGCTTTTAGACAATAGTTTGTAAGCTCGATCTTAGAGAGAGTGACATACATTTCAATATCTTGGTTAATTGCAATAAATAGCAGTAGGATGCCCAAATATTCCACATGTCACAACCTATAATAGTCCACTGCTGAACATAGGCCCTCCCCATTGATTGCCTCACAGGGGGGATTTAGCCATAGATGCCACGTTTGGGAGGCGGGTTGACAACCGCAGTTTTTATTATTTTGAGTTATTATTAGGAATCTATAAAATAATTTAAATATATATATATATATATATATATATATATATATAAATATATCTCCTTTAACAGTTTCCTTGTTAACATCCTCAGGGTCCACTTGAATTTACCCGTGCTGTGTTCTTGTTTGTGATCCTCACTGTTAAAAAAAGAATTATTATAACTTATCACAAATCTAGTCTAATAAAAAACACGGTCTGCCGTACCGGGTGGAATCTTGCAACTCAAATTTCGAGCACTTCCCGATAAGCTAGAAACTTGACATTTTGAACATAGTTCGGAATCGGATGTCAATTTAGGAATATGAAAAAAAAACGTGGTTTATTAAACATTTTAGTACAAAATTAAAAAAAAAATCACTTGTTAAATGTTGATTTAACACTTGCTCGGCAGTGAATGAAAACACCGTGAGGAAACCTGTATGTTTGATACATAAAATATTTTGAATGCATCTGAATTCTACCAACGTGCACTGGAGCATCGCGGCGGACTAGAATTCTGTAAAACTCTCTCAGAAATGAAAGGAGGCCTGTGCACAGCAGTTTAAAGGATGCAACTTTATTTTATAAGACATGATGCAACAAAGAATTATTGTGTTCGTTTCGTGTCATTATCGTTTCGTTATTTTTTGTTTGTATTTCAATAAATTATTCGATGATTGACGTTTTCGATGTTTGCTCGCAGTTCGCGGCGCCTCGGCCTGGCGGGGAGTCATCGTGTTTGCAAGGCCCCGACTGTTTTATGGTAAGTATATACATTTTAATTCAAAGAAACACTCAAAAGAAAATACTTTATTCTAAAATGAGTTATGAATTTTTTAACTGCGAATTGAAACAGGTTCTTGTTGTTTTTTTTTTTATAAACATAGTATGTATTATTTTAATGAGTCAATAATTACAATATGAGTAAGTAAATAATAAAGTATTTAAAACAAAATGAGGTAATTATTACCACTTTGTACTGACTATTTACAATACATAAACAAAATTGTATAATAACTATTCTGTTAAATCAATAATATCTCTACTTCAAACGTTCTTAGGAATCCAGGCGACAGGACGTTTTGTCAATACCAGTAATTAATAACCGCGGTTGGCGTTGCTTCTTATAATTATTAAAGCTTACTGAGGCGAGAGAAGGCATCAAGTTAACGTCAACTCCAACTAATGAGTGCTTCCAATGACAAATGCAGTATTTGTGTCTATCGCCGTTGTGAAATAATGGACAGACATGACAGCTTCTTCTGTTGTTCTCTGTTTGATGCTGGCTTCATTGTTTTTATATTTTTAAATATAAAAACAATGAAAAAAAATAATTTTATTTTTAAATAGGTTGTAGATTCATACTGCGACACATAGAAAACTATTACAAATATAATATTTTAAATTTTCGCGTTGGCATAAGACTATATACGTACTAGAGCCATGCTGCAGCTATATTAGTAGTATAGTTGTAGAACGAATGGGTCGGCTCTACCGGGGAAGGACCCCGCTCTCACAGAATACCAGCGTAAAATAACAGCTTAACACTGCTGTGTTTCGTATGGTGAGTGTAGAGAACTGGAGACCCTTTTTACTGGATGAGAGGCATTCCATATTAGTCCTCACGAGTGACAACGCATCTGCATTTTGATTCGTAATCGAGGATAGACGTAGATGTGTATGGGCCACAGCAACCACTTACCATCAGGTGGATAGTGTGCTCGTTTGTCACTTGATCCTATAAAAAAAGACTACTTTATCCAAAGTGGATTTAATTTTATCTTAAAAAGTTTCACGTTTTGACTCATGTTTCATGAACTGATACACTTTTTTATTTACCTTGTTTTTCATACATAATTAAGAAATGAGTTTTATTGTTGCAGTGCTGGGAAAATTGTGAACTACTCCAATCTAACTATCAAGTATGGGGTGCAGTGTGCGATGAAAAAGATATATGTGTAAGTTATTTAGGGTATTTTTTTTTAATTTCATATGAATCTAAATGCATACTAACAGTTGCTATTGTTCACAGTTCCCAGGCTGCAAAGTTGCTTGCGAATTCCACTCAGAAGCAGCAAGGGCATCTCAAACGCAACCAGTCATTCATACTAAAGGAGAGGGTGTAATGCGAGTTAGCGGTGCTCTAGCCCGTTGGCCACCTCCAGTACCAAGAACTACTACCCGACCGGCTCCTTTAGTCTACGTAGTCATGCGTCGTGCTGCTGAAGGCCCTTGGCGTCAAATCATACAAACACAAGCATTAGCAACACGTGTACCCTCGAACAACGAAGGTGCACTTCTTCGAGTTCTTGTCGTAGATCCGCAAGGTCTCGTTACTATTTATAGTCCCGATGAAACTTGGTTAGCCCGTGATACTAATTCTTCGAATCACGATGAACATAAATGGACCCTCAAAGAAATATCGCTCATACATCAAAAAGTTCTTGTTATTGGTGAAATTGCTTGGGAGCCTAGGATTGTTCGTGGCGTTTATCTTGTAACGTGGGAAGTAGATGGTGGGGGTTTAAAAGGAAATCTTTTTACTGATTCTACTCGTGTCACATTATCACTCTGGCCAGATACAATATACCATATTCAAGTGGAACTAGTATCTCGTACGCCGGGCGTTGATAATGAGAAATCTGAGACAATGACCATTGATACAAGTCGAGCTCAACGTGTTTCAACAGAAAGTGTGCAAGATGTTGAAGTTAGTGAAGGAGATCGTTTAATGTCAGTACTAGTAAGTTCAATGAGAGGTGAACGTGTTCCCGAACGGGCTCCCGATTCAGAACTAGTACTGGGATGTTTGTCAGCAATGATTGCTTTTGGTTTAGCTGCACTTGCTGCTATTGTATGGCGACGGAGACGACGAGGCACGTTTCCTGGGACTAACGTTTATGTTGGATCCTCATCTGTATTGAAACGTAAGCTTGTAGAAGATTTCATTCCTGCAAATCATAGTTTTCAACCTGTGCTTACGCAAGGAACAACTGCTAATGAAAACGTTGTACACGACGTCATAGTGTGACGTCATAGCTTTGATATGCTGTCAATAACAGACCGCGCTTTCAGTTCCTAAATGTTTAAACAAATTTGTGAAAAAAAAACGACTCACTGATGTGAACGAACGAAATTTTAATGTGATATAGACTGAGTTTGCAAGTGAAATTAACGCATGGCAAATAAATAGAGTATTGTGAGAAGGTTTCTTTTCTTTTGTGATTTAATTTAAGTTTTTTTTTCCAATATATGCAAGACACTTGTGCTCATTGTACACGCAGCATGATAACATGGACTATCAATAAAACAATTTTTGTATGTAGTATTAGGAAAATTGTAAATTGTACTTATAAAATATATTTATAAGACACAGTAAGGTTAACACCAGACAATTTAGCAGTGTAAATATGTTAAGAAGCGGTTGATGATAACTTTAACATTAAAATAAAATGATTTATGTATGCTGTAAATATCAGTAATGTGTTATTTAGTGTATTTTACGCTAAACATGTACAATACGCGACATGATTTGAATAATTTTAGAAGTGTAAAATTTTATTTAATGCAAGACTTGCATTTCGACCCAATATTAGGCAACAGTGACTGAAATTTTCGGAACTTCTTCGTGTGCTCCAATTTAATCCATTATTTATTATAAAAAGTAAAAGTATAATATTGTGTTAAATTATCAAAATATTTAAATCTACTTAAAAAACCTAGTCCTTATTAATGTTTAGTTAATAGTTATTAGAAATACTTTATTCCAACTGATAATATTAATCAATTTAGGAACTTGAATTTCTTCAGCAATAAAAATGTATTTATGTGTAAATATTCGAAGCATTTATTGTAAAAAGAAAACAGAGTAAATATATTTTCTTGGTCAACATTAATAATTCTAAATGTCATAAATGGAAATTAACAGTATTTATATAAGAAAATTATATGTGGATAAATATCATACTTTCGTATACTTCAATGTAATTTTGCCAATGAATGTAATCAATCATTTCAAATTTTATCCTTATTGACATAATATAGGGTATTTTAATTGGTCAATTATCTTATTATTTGTTGCATGAGACGTCATAAAAACCAAAATATTACTGTTCTAGATATTATATTTAATTTTATGGTTTTATTTTGATGACCAAATTCTGCATTAATTAAGGTAATAATTTAAGTTAAATTTATTTATTTGTTTGTATAATTATATCCTTCACTCGGATTTGTAAATAAATTTACTTGCTATGATTGATAAAGCTGAATTTTAACAAGTATAAATAAATATGTCTGCCAAATTAAGTTGTATTTTTAACATCTTTCAATCTTTAATTATATCTATAGTAAGTATTTCTTTAAATAATTCACCCACTCACTCCCACACTACAGCCTATCACAAGTCCACTGCTGAGCATAGACTTCCCCCATAGATTGCCTCAAAGTACGGCCATGAGCCACCTGCATTCACTCGTCCGGTAATCACTCAGGACGCCCAACACGGCTTGCTAGTAATAAATAAATATTTTAGTGTAACTAAAATATACTAAAAGTGATAACAATAATATAATCTATATATAGATCCTTCGAATGGAATCAAAGAAATATTCAACATACACAATTATAAGTAGTTGTATGAGCCGAAACAATTGTTTTATAGGCAAAACATTTAAAGTAATAATATGTATATGTATAAACATAGAGATTTAGCGGGACGACGGTGGTCGAGTCGTCATTTGGCTGTGTCGTATGAAACGGAACCATTGTCTAGGGATTAACGTCAACGAATTCATTGTCAACAAGCGCCTGATCAAACAAAAAAGATTTACGCGTCACATAACCCTAAGGAACCCTTTATTTCTATCGTTATTCCCAAGTCCCAAGCCGACTGTAACGGATTAAATGCTTAACCTTTTTTAATCACTCTGTCCAAAAATAGCTTTGTTTTTATAAACTTTGAAAGTCTCTCAAACGTTATCTAAGACGAAGTTGAAATAAAAAAAAATATGTACATCACCATATTATATTTTTACATTCAAATTCTATGTAACGGTAGCGTTTCCTTAACTGTGGAATTTCTAATTTAACCATTAAATTGAGGCGACTGATGATGTGTTAATTATAAAATGTTAATTCCTAAATGCAAATGTAAACGGCCCTACGTAAATTACGATTAATGAAAGATAAAAATAACGTTTCAAATCTCATACAAGGTTAAGGTCTCAATTTTACTTCCATAAATCTAGTCGCAAGATAAGATAATCTCTTTGTTTTTAAATTGTTTCAATAGTTTTCTTTTACTTTGTGTATAGACAAAATATTGCTTAAGATAACTTTGTTGTTTATTTATGCTCATTTATTTTCATTAAGAAAAAGTTTGATCCGGCCAAGAAACGTATGATTATGGTAACATACAGTCATTTATTTTAGTTACTCATTTTATTCTTGGCTCGCGGTCCTAGTATAAAGCATAGGCCCATAAATAACAGGAAAAATAGAAGGTGAATGCTTCTACGAGTATCCTTTTGGGAGCGGCCAGAGCATTCTTTTAAGATTTATTACAGAACTTGAGCGCATTACTTATTCCTTATGTGCGTACGTAACCGATAGTCCCTTAAATTTATATTTTTTCCGGCTGTGTTTAATTTTTATTCCAAATTTTACACATCTTTGCGATACTTTTAATACTCAAATCAAATATTAATAGTTTTTGTTATAATAAAAATAGTCATACAATATGCCTTGTGGGGGCGGCGTAAGATAATTCTTCAGTTCATTTCGTACCGTGGGTGTCTTGTACCGTGTATAGGCTTAGACCATTCAACCAATGGTTTAAGTGTATAGACAGTGAAGAATATCCACTACCCCCTCTTAAACTGGAGATGGGCAGCGTCTTTCTAATTACATCTCAAGATAATAATAATAAATTGGATGGGGCTGTGTGGAGACACACGGCCGTTGGTTTAACGTGAAACGTCTGTGTCAGCGAGTTGCTTTTAGTGTGAGAGCGCCGGTTTTGCTCAATTTATCGTTGCCCTTTCTCTGCTACCCTTGCAGGCCCCGATGCAAACTCAAGGTCGCATTTAAGTTAAATAATTCACACTTCACGTTTTGTAATTACTGAGGCAAGACGATATATAGACCTTTTCACTACGGTGCACTTTTTTAACCTGGTACCCGTATGTTGGACTTTTGACGTCAAATACTGCCGTTGCCAAACCAAGCGTGGTAACTGAGGCAAAATTCACGCTGTAAGATAATCTACGGGGAAGGTTATGTTCAGCAGTGACTTAGGTTGTAATGGTATCGTAAGAGTCGACTATGGGATAAGCCAGAATGATCTCATGGCTTCATATAGATGGCGGTACAACCATCTTGTTTACGCCAGTCGTAAAATACCCAGACAGGCGACGGGGAGCAGCGTCAAAGATACGAGACGTTTTAATCTGCGGTGTCCAGTCCACCTACTACGTCTGTCAATTAAATTCTTGTTTGCTTAGCCTAATAATAATAATAATTATTATTATTATATATTAGCAGGCAGGCAGTTGAGACAACTGATAATGCCTGAATCCTGTTTTTGTCCACTAGTTACCCTTTTTGCAGTTCAGAAAGTAATCATCTAATCTATTTTTGAATTGGTTCACGTTTTGGGCTGAGACTACGTTCTCTGGCAGCTTATTCCACTCGGTGACTACACGGTTACAAAAGAAGTACTTGTGAGGGTTGTTGTTTGAAAAGCTGGTACATAGCTTAAGATGGTAGCCCCTGAGGTGGGGGTTTTTATTACGAATAAACAATTTGTCAAACTCCTCAATGTCGTAATGCCCATTTAAGTTTGAATGGGAGAGAATGCGTTAAAGCATTAAGTTCGTCATATATACGATACTTTTTATGCTTACTAGTTTAATTTAAATAAATAAATAAACTAAAGCATATCCTCACTTTAACGGGACGGGCGCGTGTTCATCATGGCTGGTGAAGAAGATAAATAAGAAGTTATAACAGTTATATTATCACCACTAATTAAAAGATATTTTTATCAAATATGTTATAATATCAATATACTATGCTAGGTATTCATTTTAATTTTTTTTGCAAAAATTGAGTACTTAGTTATTAGATACGGAATATCACTTTCCCTGTGCTATATGAATTGAATTACATTATATGCCAAGTATGTTGATGATATCTTGAATATAATATATGTGAAAATCTCAGAAGTAAGTCTGTTTCTCTAGAGATATTTGGTAAATCAATTACTGAGGTCGTTTAACAATTAAAGATATTAAGTTGTTTTTTTTTATATTATTAGAGTAACAAAGGAGCTAGCATTCTGTAAACAACTTCAAAGAGATATGATATACTTACTCTCTTACTCTTAAAATCAGAACACAAGAAATACATTCTAGCTTAGCGGAAGTTAACAGATCAAAAAATTACACTAGGTAGGAACATGCATCTAGCACGCAATACACATATTCGCTTATTATTAAAAAATATAACTTGTCAGTTTATGCTACAATACTAAAGAAAAAAAAAACTAAAAAAATCTGACCACATTGCATGATTCGAGGTCAAGGATATTGTCGTGTGGCAGGGGCGTAATAGGATCCATCACTTCATTTCGTTGCATGGGTGTCATGGTAGACGTTATGGGAAATGCCAGAAAACTTATGGCTTCCGACAGATGGCGGTATATTCGTCTCGTTTACGTTAGACGTATAATATCCAGACCGGCGAAGGGCAGAACTTTAAAGTATAAATATAGCTTCCTTATTCTAAAGGTTCTAAGGTACGAGAAATCTGGTTTTGCGATCGTCAGGAATAAAAATGCAGTAAATCCTCCGAAAGAGGCTCATGCCCAACAGGGACTTTTTAACCTTTTATGGATTGATAAAGAAGAAATATTAGAATAGTCAATTAAATTCAGCTTTTTAATTGAAAAGTCTATCTATAATACATACTACTTGACTATTACGAGTGGGTCCTGCTTGTTAAAAAAATAATAAAGTTACAGCCTATATA